CTTGCGCATGCTAAGCCAGAACTCCTCCATGAGACACATCCTCAGACTCCAGCTCACAGATTTCACCTTTCTTAACAGCCTCTTGTTCAGTGTCAGGGACAGAACCCAAGGCCTTGCACATGCTCACAACTGTTCAACTCCTGAGCTCCGGGTCAGATTAGGTCCCCTTTGAGCTGTTATCTAACCTACTGCCGACTTCTAGGGACACGGAAATGACTGTCCAGGAGCATATATCAGGGAGCACCTAGCTGGCTGCTCAACCAGGCCTTTCTAGCTTTCCACTTCGACTCAATTATGGGTCCTAAACTCATTGACCGGAGTCTGTCTCCATACAATAAACCCACGCATTTGACTCCACCCAACCATCTCTATGCAAGGGGCTCCCCAGCCCGAGCTGGGGGGGCCTCCTCAGGGTTTGCTGAGTGAGTAGCTGGGTGAGCAAACCCCTTCCCCTGTCCCACCCCTGTGTGGAAGATGCTAAATCTAAAAGGGTGCTGATTCCAGACTTGGGCCCCTCCTTCCTCGGTGCATGCTGATTCTTCTAAGCCTCCAGGCCTGGAAAAGGAGCTCTTACTCCAGGGATGAGGACATCCTCCTACAGAGATGCTGAAAACACAAGCCATCTGGGCATCAGGCTAGCCCTTCCCAGAAGCCATTGCCATTGAACCCAGGGACCAATAACCTCACAGTTACCTCAGTGACTTCCTTAGTCCCAGTTCTTGGAACTCCCTTTCTGGAGTACAATAGAGCCCTGCACCTCTATCTATCCCCCATTTTCTGACTCAGGGCCTTCTAAGCAGCATTTCTGTCCCCCCGACCACTGTCACCCACCCACAGCCAGGCCAGTGGTGTCCACACATTGCAAAGCCTGTTACTGTTCAATGGCTCTGACCCTAGCCAGACAGAAGTTACTGTAAGTCACATCACAGCAGGACCGGGAGGGAGGGAGGGGGAGCCGGCACCTGAGGACCGTGCCTGGACTGACACTTGAAGATGGATGTGACAGGGACCTGAGGCTTGGAGGCTCAAGATTAGATCAACAAGTCTGGGGCTGGCTGGTTCCAGGAAAAAGGTCATGTGGACACGGTTTGACAGACAGCTCAAGCAAAGCCAAGGTTTCAGGCTGGCCTTCCCTGAACAGAGGAGGCACGGGGGCTGATGGCCCAATCTAGAGATGAAAAGCCTGAAGCCCTTGGTCTCTCTTGGGCACTGGCATTTTCCCAGGAGCTCCCAGGGGCCAGTGTCATTGTGTCCAAGAACTAAACAACCACAGCTCCCGTGGGTCTTCCAGGACATGCCCAGCTCAGATGTCCTTTAAGCAGGCATTCAAGGTTTCTCTTTCTCCTGCTCCTCTAGGCCCAATGATCAGCCACCTGTAGCTAAATTGGGGTACCCAAATCAGGACCAGATGGTCTTGGGGCGCACGGTCTCCTGCTGATCCGGTTGGGTCCGGCAGGCGAAGAATAGAGATCTGCCACCTTAAGGAGTTTCTTACAACTCTTGTCTTGGGAAGCAGCCACCTCTGGGGTACAGAGGAATAAAGGGGGAGAAGTGGGCACCTGGAGGTTCCTGGTCGGGGGAGCTGGGACTAACCCTAAAACACTGGATGCTCTCAGTGGGTTCAGGGGAATGGCAGGCAGGCTCCCTTCACACACATGGACCAGTGCACCCCCAGTGTACACGGACTTGGGAGACTGGAGGCCCTTTGCTCACTACAATCCACAGCTCTGAGCTAGAGTCAGTGTGGAGCCTGAGCTGCCCACCGCCCACGCAGTGATCTCTACCTTCCGCATCCCTGGCTGCACATCGCTTGCAGCAGCTGTTAGCTAAGTGTCCTTGAATGATCTGCCTCCCAGCCCCCACATACTGTAACCTCCTCGGGGACCCCTACATGGCAAATGGTCGCAGCTCCAGACTGGGGAGGGGGAAGCGGAATGTGGAAAGATGAGTCGTCACCATGGGAGCAGACGACTGAGTTCCACACTCACACACTTGCAGAGCTGGAGGCACCAAGGCATGCCCACACTCACATTCCGAAACTCGCAGGGAAAGATGCGGAGAGGCCAGCGCCGGGCAAAATCATAGATGCATGCTGAGACCCACAGAGACAGAAAACTGCTCCCCTCCATACACACACAGTCCTTAGACACAGACACCAAAACACAGGGGCAAATCAAGATCTATGCAGAAATATCTTAGCCAGGGTGAACCCCAATCATTATCCAGTGTCTACTTTCTTGTACAGAGAGACACAAATACACATGACAACAGACTGAACTCCCTAGACACATCCTAATAACTGTTCTGGGAATACATAAGCTCTCTCTCTCTCTCTCTCTCTCTCTCTCTCTTTCTCTCTCTCTCTCTCTCTCTCTCTCTCTCTCTCTCACACACACACACACACACACACACACACCATCTCTCTTCTTGGGAGTCCTTCATCCATCCCTCCCTCCCCTGTCTCAAGCAGCAGACAGGGCACTTAGAATCTAGAGATCACAGGGCAGTGGTGACACATGCCTTTAATCCCAGGACTCAGAAAGCAGAGGCAGGCATATTTCTGTGAGTTCAAGACTAGCCTGGTCTACAGAGTGAGTTCCAGGACAGCCAGGACTATGCAGAAACCCTGTCTTGAAAAACCAAACCAAACAAAGATCCTAGAGATCTATCATCCACCATCTTGCCACAGCTACCCAAGGACAACGTTCCTTCTCAGGTCCAGGCACTTTCATTAGAGTAGAGTAGAGGTCTTTGGGAGTAGAGGTCACCAGATCCATAAGGGTGCTACCGCAGCCCTCTGCTTAGCACCTGGGGAGGGATGTGAGAGAAAGGAGACTTCCTGGCTTGGAAGGTCCTGTCCTGAGGCAGGAAGTCGACAAGGTGACTAAGCCTGGAAGGTCCCCCTCCACCTGCCTAGGAGTCCCAGGAGATCCAGCCTGCAATCATTTGCACCTGGTGCTGTCTATTTAAAGACCCCCCCTCCTCCCTTACTCTACCCTAGCCTCTAGGTCTTTTGTCATTCTTTAAATTTTGGAGCAGGTATTGCTGCTCTTGGAAGCCTGGGTGAAATCTTTGACCCTGTTGTGACCTCGGTCCCCCTAGGACCTCTCCCAGCACCATAGGAAAATGCCTTAATCCCCAGGTGAGATCCTCTGCATGGCTGGGAGCCTTTGGGGTGCCAACAGATCTGAGTGGAACACAGGTTGGAACCCCCAGCGCTGCCTCTGACCTTGGGCAAAGCCCTGAACCGCGTGTATCCAAGGTCTTTTCTGTAAAAAAGGGGACAGTGACAACTACCTCACCGGACTGACGTGGGAATTAAATGAGATCGTACATCGTTTAGCCTGTGGAAATGGCGGCCGTAGTATAGGTTCGTTGCTTGCCACAGAGCTTGGGAAATATTTATTGAATTAATGAACGCCTCCAGTTCCCCCTCTTCTTCCTCCACCTCACGTCCTTGCTTTAGGAGGGAGAAGTAGGAGCGAACAAGGATTTGGGGCAAGATTTGGGAGAGACGGGACTTTCTGACGTCTCTGAACACTAGCTGCTCCAGCAGGTCCTGAGCTTGCCTGGAGGCGGCACCGGCTTCCTTTCACCTCAGTGACAACCATTTGGGCTATCATTCTCACTGGTCAGGTGAGGCAGCAAGTAGAAGTGGGGTCCACCCCTTCACTGTGTCCCCCGACGCCGCCTCCAACACACACACACACACACACACACACACACACACACACACACACACACCCTAGGTGCGCACGGAATGCAGGGTGGCGGGAGCGTAAGTGTCGAAAGGATGCGCACGGTATGAATGAGCTAGTGGATGCGTGAATGGAGGTGGATGAAAGCTTGAAGTACAAGGCAGGGCTGGAGCTGGGAGACCTCGGGCGCAGACGGGGCCGGGGCTCCCTCCCCTCCCTGCCCAGCCTCCCGCCCCGCTCCCCTTCCCTTCCCTCCCCACGGCACGCAGTCCGTCCGAGCCCTCCCAAGCTACCACGGGTGCGGAGCTGGGGCCGAGCAGCCACCGAGCGGACAGCTCGGCCTCGGGAGGGGGCTGCCCCGCCGCGTCCCCTGCCCCTGCCTTCCCCTCGCACCAAGGCAAAGTCCCGTGTGCAAGGTCCAGGTACCAGCAAACGATGATGCTCGGGGCTGGGAGCCAACAGGTGCGGGGTATGGGCGGCGGTGTGTGTGTGGGGGGGGGGGGGCGCGCTCAGGACTGGCATGGGAGTTCCAGAGGAGCAGTGGCAGATGAAGGTGGCGGGGAAGCCCGAAATTTCTGGGGGTGACCTGGGTGCTGGAAGGCTGCGCCACCACCCACTCCGCTCACCTCCAGGCGGTTCTTGCTGACCCTTCTGGGAATCCTCCCAGACCCCCTAAGGAGCAGGGAGGTCCATCTGGGAAATCGGTAGGCCAGCGTCTCTGCCCCTTCCCTTAGGGCTCTCCGGGGACTGGCCACCCTCCTACACTAGTCTAGGGTCGTCCCTACCCAGCTAGGGGAAGGAGGGGTCTGAGGAAGAGAGGAGGGAGCGGCCTGAGTGGGGCCGGATTTATGAATGGAAAGCGACCTGCGCGCCGGCTGAGCGACCCCTGGCGGCCGTCGGGGGGTCATCCTGGCCCCCGGGACTCGAGGAGACCTAGAAAGGGTGCTGAGAATTCCGTTTTTGGGCGGGGGACTACTTCATTTCTCCCAGGGAGGTGGTCAGTCCCTTCCCGCACTCCTCTCTCTCTCTCTCTCTCTCTCTCTCTCTCTCTCTCTCTCTCTCTCTCTCTCTCTCTCTCTCTCTCTCTCTCTGTATCTCAGGTCTAGTGGGCAGAACCTAGATCTTCAGTATCTCCCTGAATCCTCCCCCCCCCCCCCAGCCCTAACCAAGGTTTGAGAGAATATTTGCTATTGGGAATGGCTGCCTTTCCTAAATCTGTGCTGGCTGGAGGACGCAGGTGACCTTGAGCAAGGGGCTCAACCTTTCAGCTTCCCATCTCCTCATCCACACACAGGGCTCACTAATAATGATCCCGGACACTGACTGGGAGGCCGGCTTCTGGGCGAAGTAGTTCCTAAGCTTTAGAGCTCAGTTTCCTCACCGAGGCCTGGGAGGTAGGTATCTTTATTACTCCGTTGGATGGGGAAACTGAGGCTGAATGAGGGAGGTAAGATGACTTTCTCCACCACTCTCAACTCATGAGTAAGATTAGAGAGGGAAGGTAGGGCAAAGTCCCTAATGTCCCCTCCTTCCCTCCCCACTTCCTTCTGTCTTTTCTGTTCTCCTTTTCTCGCTCTCCCCCGGCCTTCTCTCCTTCATGAAGTTTGGGCTGGAACCCCCAAAGACTTGGGTGCAAAATCAGGGCCCCTGAAGGGAGTGGGCTGAGGGTTTGTGGGAGTTCCTCTTCTTCCACAGAGCCCAGCACCCTCCTCAGCTGAAGTGGCTCCAGAGCTCATGGAACCCTCCGCCACTCCCGGGGCCCAGCCCGGAGTCCCCACTGGCAGCAGGGAGCCCTATCACCTCCCTCCAGACTATGAGGATGAGTTCCTCCGCTACCTGTGGCGCGATTACCTCTACCCGAAGCAGTATGAGTGGGTTCTCATCGCAGCCTACGTGGCTGTGTTCCTCATAGCCTTGGTGGGCAACACACTGGGTAGGTGTCTGTCTTCTGAGGCCTAGAGGGAGTTCTGCCCGGCCTTGCCTTCATACCTCTTCCTGCTGGTGGTGGTGGTGGTGCGGGTGACGGGGGCTTAGTATCCCAGCAGAGCCTGGATGGTCATGGCTGCTGCTGACTTAACTCACCCCATGCTCTCTGCAGTCTGCCTGGCTGTGTGGCGGAACCACCACATGAGGACAGTCACCAACTACTTCATTGTCAACCTGTCCCTGGCAGATGTGCTGGTGACTGCCATCTGCCTGCCTGCCAGCCTGTTAGTGGACATCACTGAATCGTGGCTCTTCGGCCATGCTTTGTGCAAGGTCATTCCCTACCTACAGGTTAGTTCGCCCACACCCGCCAGTAGCCCCTATCACGCCTGCCTAACACCTATGGCCTTGGCGGGTCCCAGTGACTCTAAGGTTCACCTTTCAGGCAAGTCACAGTGGCTCAGGACTTTTGCAGGGTCACCCAGACCACCAGGCTGGGCACTCAGGAACACAGACACAGCCTCACAGACTCACAAAGACATCCCCTCCTGGTGACAGCTACAAACTTGGCCATGTGTACATACACAGTTACCCCCGGGTACACGGGCACATATCGAGAGGAGACAGGAGCCCACAGTGGCGGTCCTAAATGCTCACTGGGTCTGCTCCCTGACCCCAGTGGAGACCAAATGAGAGAGAGAGAGTCAGAGAGAATTGTATCTTCTCTCCTTTCTAGCCTGCTTCCCCAATCCTTGACACCAGGATGTCAGACAGTGATCAGCAGTCAGAAGGAGGGCTGGCCCGAGACCACCATGGTCTCTCAGTAGCCCTCAGACTTCTTCCTGCACCCTGGGAAACTGGGACATTCTGGACGCATGCCTGCCTATGCTACTTGCATGGCAGACTCATCTTTGCCTCTCCCAGCAACAGAGGGAAGGGATGACCTCCAGGGTGACAGAAATGCTGTCTGGATTTCTCACTGGTTTGAGGTTTTCTGCTCAACTGACTCAGTCTGTTGGCTTAAGTGTGAGGGACTCGCATGTCTAATTTCCTCAACTGTAACATGCACCTACCTCACTGTAAGGCAGGGAGAAGAGTGTCTGTCACACAGAGTAACATGGTTCACAGTAGAACAGTGCCTAGTGCATGTCAGGTCTCCAACTGGACATTCTCCATACATGATTTCATTTATTCGTACCAGAATCCTGCCAGATAAATGCTATTGCAGCTAAGGCTCAGAGAGGGTGAGTGACGAGCCCAAATTCACACAGTCCGAAAGCGGCAGAGTCAGAATTTGCTGCCCTGGTAGCTCTGGCCTGCGGAACTGCTCCCTGCCACACCTCTGATGCTGTGTCCCCACGGGGCAGGCTGTGTCCGTGTCGGTGGCAGTGCTGACACTCAGCTTCATCGCCCTGGACCGCTGGTATGCTATCTGCCACCCGTTGATGTTCAAGAGTACTGCTCGCCGCGCCCGTGGCTCCATTCTGGGCATCTGGGCGGTGTCGCTGGCTGTCATGGTGCCCCAGGCTGCTGTCATGGAGTGCAGCAGTGTGCTGCCTGAGCTAGCCAACCGCACCCGGCTCTTCTCTGTCTGTGATGAACACTGGGCAGGTAATGGTGGGCACCTCTGGGGTGCGTACCCCTAGGACAGGGGACTTTCAGGGTGGGTATCCCCGGGGTGGGTGTCACCTCCAGTGTGGGCATCTGCTAGGGGTCCATCCACGATGATACCACTAGACTGGGCAATTCCCTGCCATGTGCCTATGTGAAATTCAGTTATCCCCGGGTCCTTGCTTGTTGGGACAAGGTGGCATTGCTGAGGCAGACTGGGACTCCCAGGTCAGACCTGACCCTTGCATCTCATGACCCCTACAGATGAACTTTACCCCAAGATCTACCACAGCTGCTTCTTCATTGTCACCTACCTGGCCCCGCTGGGCCTCATGGCCATGGCCTACTTCCAGATCTTCCGCAAGCTCTGGGGCCGCCAGGTAAGGCGTCACTGTGTGGGCTGCAAACGGTGTAGCTGTTACTCTAACGGGGTAGATGGTCCCTGACATTAGACTATGACATCCATGCTGTGACGACAGAAAGGCCAGATCCAGGGACATGGGGAGACGAAGGCCGCAAAGTGATCTGCAGCCTCTTTTAATTAATTAATTAATTAATTTTTGGGACTGGAGATCTGGGACCTTGCATATGCTAGGCAAGCGTTCTACCACCGAAGACTCTCCCCAGATCTTTCTCTCCCTAACCCCTGTGCGCTCCTTCCTTTTTTAAATGTTGAGGCAGGGTCTTGCTAAGTTGACCTGACTAGCCTGAAGTTGGAATTCTCCTGCCTCCGCCTCCTGAGTAGTTAGGATGACAGTCAGCTTCAACCACCACATCATATTCCCCATGCCCCAAACATGTGAGAAAACACCCAGAGAAGCAACACAATGTCCCCCAAAGCGTTCAGCTGGTGAGCGGAAAGACGGGAGTTGGAACCCGAATCTGAGGCTCCAATGCTCAGCTTCATAACAGGAGGTTAACCATTACAGCTCCAAATGTTCACCCAGCTGGTCTTCAGGTTAAGTGTCTTACAGCTAGATAAGGAAGAGGCATTCTTGCCCACTTCAGAGTGTGGGCGACTGACTGCCACGACCAGTAAGGCCAACTGGTTCCAGGCATGACTTTCCCCTCATGACATGAGCCCACAGCGGGTTTCCTGGGTCAGTGATCATGGGAAGATGGGTGCTAAGAGCCATTTGCACAAACGGCAGTAAGTCCTGGGTCAATATCTAGGCAGTGAGAGGACGTGGGTCACAGGGCTGACTGGTCCCGATGACACCAACATTCTGGGATGTCACATACATTCTACACAGTGCTAACCCACCCCTAGGCCATGCAGGGCAATGGTTTGGGTAAAACCCAGGATCTGCCTTGCAGGGATGCCCAGTCAGAGCCTTTCCTGGTTGGTCTACATTAAGGGAACAAAGGTTTAGCGAAGTCACACAGCCCATGCATGTGTGAGCAGTCTCTAAACTTTATTTTCTTGTGTTCTGGCTCCATGTCTCTTGGTTGTGGGGCAATTGTGATGTCCAGTGGTGGGAGGGGCTCCCAGCATGTGTTTGCTCCAGGAGTCCAGAGCTACTCAGGCTTCTGAGCATCCACCTGGGTGGAGAGCTCTGTCCTGACTCAGTCCAGGCCATCTCTGAGGCCCTCCTGACTCCCAGGCCTCCCCCACAGTGCGACATGGACATCTCTTCATGACTCAGCTCTTCACCCTGTCCCCAAAGGTGGAGCTGCAGACCTAAGGAAGATGGGAGAGTAGTTAGGAAGGGGTTCACACCCCACAGTGTGGCAATTTCCTTGCACGCCCCTACCTTGCCCACCAGGCCCAGAGTGTCCCCAGACAAAGGGAATGACTGTCTCTCAGGGAGTAACATCCACTGCTGTCGTGTGTGTGTGTGTGTGTGTGTGTGTGTGTGTGTGTGTGTGCGCATGTGTAGATCCCTGGAACCACATCGGCCTTGGTGCGGAACTGGAAGCGGCCCTCAGAGCAACTGGAAGCTCAGCACCAGGGACTGTGCACAGAGCCCCAACCCCGGGCCCGAGCCTTCCTGGCTGAGGTGAAGCAGATGCGAGCTCGGAGGAAGACGGCTAAGATGCTAATGGTGGTTCTGCTGGTCTTTGCCCTCTGCTATCTGCCCATCAGTGTCCTCAATGTCCTGAAGAGGTGAGGACATGGGGGAGCCATGTGGGGAGGGGAGGGGTTCCGGGGTCTGTTCACTCCACTCCTCTCCACCCTGGGCCAGGTGGTTGCTCTGCCACATTCATCTTCTCTAGTGTCACGTAGGGATATCAGGCCTGCCTCCAAAGGCAATTGGGAAGACCCGCTCCTTCATGCCCTTGGGTCTCAAGTTCTAGGGTGACTGGCTACAAATGACAGACAAAATCTCTGTCTTCATAGAGGCTGCACTCCAGTGAGAAAGAAGGAAAAATCAGTGTGTATCAGGCAGTGAGGACTATGAAGAAAAATGAAATACCAGAAGAGGGCAGAGTGTGATGGGGAGGTGTCTCAGACACACTGTTGTTGCTATTTAACACTTCTCTGAGAAGCTGGGAGGTGCGTGTCTGCACTCTCAGCACTCAACAGGCCAAGGGAAGAGGATCATGAATTCAAAGCCAGCCTAGGTTAGGGCCCTGAGAAGAGACTTGGCAGACATGTAGGAGCAAGCATCATGGGATGGGAGAATACCAGTTAGGCAGAAGAATACAAGGACACAGACGATAAGGGGTCAGGAGTCATCAATGGAAGGTCATGGAATAGTGGACAGCAACCAGCCTGGTTTCAGCCATGTCCTGACTTGTGGAATCCGGGGCACGTACTTCTCTGTTTCTTTAACTGAAAACAATGGATGCTATCCATGATGTCTTATTTCTGTTGGGATGGATGAAAAGGTAAATGGAGTGGCTCCAAGTGATCAGAAAGGTGGAGACTGAGCAAATCATATTCATTCCTGTCCCAAGGCCCATTCTGGCCAGAACCCATGCTTGGATACCCAAAGTTGGTGTCCAAATTTGCGGTCAAGATCTCAAACCAAGTGCCGCAAATGGACAGTAGTGAGCACTGGGGACCCTTATACTTTCTAGCTAGAGTTCTGTGGGCACTCTCCCCCTGCCCACCTGTCGTACTTCTCTCCATCTTTCTCACTGGCATTAGAGTGTTCGGGATGTTCCGCCAAGCCAGCGACCGGGAAGCTGTCTATGCCTGCTTTACCTTCTCCCACTGGCTGGTGTATGCCAACAGTGCCGCCAACCCCATCATCTACAACTTCCTCAGTGGTAAGTGGACCATGCATGCAGTGGCTCAGGGTGGCCATGGTTCCTTGGTCCATCTCAGGCTGGTAAGAGAAGATGTACCTGCTCACTTACTCTCTCTGGGAATCCTCCACTCATAGGGGAAACTCAAATACACTGCCTTGCTAGGGGCCATAATCTCATAGCACCCAGAATGGAGTCTGACCAACCTGCAGACCTAAGAGGAAAGGCAGAACCTGGGCCTCTATCCCCCATCCAGGCAGAATGTGCAGTAAGACTTCCTACTAGTTCCTTTCTGGTTGGTGCAGACAGCAATTTCCGTTTCTAGAGGGAGCCAGGCCTGAGAAGAGGACCCTGGAGGCTCTGACTGAGGGTGATTGTATAATCTAGCTGAGGGACAAGGAACAATCAGCCACAGAGACACAGGGTAGGGTGGCCATCTTGGCTACCCCTGGATTCATGAGCCTCAAAGCAAATCTCTCTCCTGGGAGTCTGGGCCCCCTGGTCCCGTTCCCGCCACACTGTTCTATACTCCCCTATACTCCTGCTCACGTCCTCTGCCTCCCAGGCTCTTTCAACAACAGTTAGGATGTTTTAGAAGGGGCAGAGGTCCCTAGTGTTACTCAACCAAGGCTTCCCAGCTGTTTCCCAGCCCAGAGGACAGGGCAGAAGAACACTACAGAGGAAGAACCAGGCAGCCATCCAGGTGCACACGGCTTGCCTGGCCTGTGTTTGCTGAGTGTCTGCTGTGTGCTCTGCCCTGAGCTGGATACTAAAGAATGGCAGACTGGGGACACGATTGGGGAGGGTTCGATTTCTGCCCCCCAACACATATACATACACACACGAGCTGAATGCAGTGCTGTGCAGCCCCTCTTCTCCCACTCTGCCTTCCCCTTTAAGAGATGACTTGGGGTTAGACCCCCACGTTCAATTTCCAGCTGAGTGGACCTGGGCAAGCCATATCCTTCTGCACATCTGTGATGTGAGACACAGCCTCGGGGGGTGTGGGGGATGCTTTGGGGGATGAGGTCTGAGGTACTGGCCTAGCCCCTGGTGCAGTGTGACTGCCCCCAGCAAGGGCTGCAGCTCTCCTTTCAATACCATTAGACAGAGCTGGGGAGGTTAGCCACAGCATGAACCCTGAGCTACACACACACACACACACACACACACACACACACGTCGTGGAGGGCAGAGGTGACCTGAGGCCCCTGAGCCAGACACCACGTCTTGAGTCAGGCTCCCAGCCAGAGTGCAGTCAAGGAATCAAGACAATTGCATTTTGCTCCAAGAACCAACTGGGGCCTCTCATCCTCTCTGGCTGGCAGGGCTCTCCGTCCCAGATGCCCCCTCCTCTCTGCCCCACCACACAACTTTGACTGAGCTCGAACCCCTTCCTGCTGCATTTGCCCCCTTATGGCTGTGTCTTTTGTCTCCCAACCAAGGCAAATTTCGGGAGCAGTTTAAGGCCGCCTTCTCCTGCTGCCTGCCTGGGCTGGGTCCCCGCTCCTCTGCCAGACACAAGTCCGTGTCCTTGCAGAGCCGATGTTCTGTCTCCAAAGTCTCTGAGCATGTTGTGCTGACCAGTGTCACCACAGTGCTGTCCTAAGTGGGGCCTGGCCCAGGGCTCCGGGAGGCACAGCCTGATCCTTTGCCTGGGATCTGCCCCAGCACTCACGAAAAGACTGATGCTGCTTGGTGAGAGACAGACTCCAGCCCTGGCTTTCTGCCTGGGTGACTCAGCCAGAGTCATTCCCTCTCTGAGCTTGTGTCCCCTAAGCAGGGCTGATAGGAGACTTAAGCACGCTCAAGAAAGCAGAGAGCGTTGTAAATCATTTCGTGCTGTGGACACGGTTACTGTCGTACCTGCCTCATGTGGCTGTACCCCGGAGTGTCACCCCACCCTTTCAGAGCTTGGCTTTCCTCCCAAAGACCTACTCAATTACAGGCCTTCCCTGGCTGGACTCTGTTCCAAAGGTCCCCACAGGCATATTTACCTGGCCTGGAGGCCACCTGAAACCCTGGTCACACATGGCCAGCTGCTCAGATGTCCCTGTGAACTAATTCGGATCCAGCCCTTCTCAGTGGGCTCTGAAGCACAGCCCACCCTCTCCAGGTGTGGACTGCACGCACCACAGGCTGGATCTCGTTGGCTTTGTGGAGTGTGGCCATTCAGCATGAAGGCCAGCAGCCCGAAGCAATTGTAATTAAAACCCTGGCATCGACTGGTTCCTTTCCTTGTCATTACACAAAGTCTGTGCTGCTCAGGTTAGTAGTGGAAGATGGGGCAGCTGTGGGGCGGGGATGGCAAGAGGAGAAGGCTCTGGAATGCTCTTATCTGCGCAACCCCGCCCCCACCCCAGATGACCTGACTGCAGGCCGAGCTGCCTCTGGCAGTGCCCAGCCTCCGATGCCCAGGACTTAGATCTCTGACACACTTTTTGCTCCCTGCCCGCTGACCTCTGGACTGGAAGGTAAGGAGGCAGGTGGGCAGACAGCAGGGTTGACAGATTTACTGTTCCTAACCTTCTTGGAAACCAGGGCTTCGTTTACTTTCTATGAACTCACAGAATACAAAGGGAAAGCCACGGATTTGGCCAGCCATGCTCCGGCTGTGACCGAGCTGATTATATGGTTGCCAAAAAGGCCCCAACACCTGTTGCCAGAGCAGAATAGGAGCACATTCTGGAGCTCCACCCTGCGACAAGGAGCAGGGGACATCTGGCTGAGGCCTTTGAGGGTGAGCACACCAGCAGATGCTCACGGGTTTCCTTGACTTCAGCGGTCAGGAAGTGGGGCAGAGCCTTGGGGCCCAGCCCATCTCGGCTCCCTGTAAGGCATGTCATTTTGTCCCGATCAGGTCTAGATGCTGGACAGTTTGTCTCCTCTACAAACCCATCAGTCCAGTGGCCACAGCTGGCCAGCAGAGTGAGCAGTCCTACCCATTCTGTGCTCCCATTGGCCATGGAATGCAAATCAAGTGTGAGGGCAGGCAGTGTGCTTGGGATGAGGCCTGAGGGCTGGATCCTCCAGGACTTAAGCTCTCAGCACCCCCTCCCAGTGTAAGGTAGATTGTGGTTGACACCATTGTAAAGATGGGTTTGGGAGCTAGAGGTGTAGCTGGGTGGTAGGGTACTTGTCTAATATGTGAGGCCCTTGGTTCCATCCCCAGAACCATATAAAAACAAAACAAAACAAAACAAAAAACAAAGATGACTTCCAGTGGACACATGGCTCAGCAGGAGCAAAGGTGATGATTGGCAGCTTCCTGTACAACGCTACCTTACTCTGCTGGTGGACGCCAGTCTGCACCAGGGTGGGCCTTCTGCCTTGTGCTTTGTGCCTTCTGCCTGGGGAGCTGATGCATTCAAGCACACTCTGGGGAGGTAGCCAAGATGCCCAGGGGAGTAATGCTCAGTGAAGGGCATCTGACCAGCCCAGGGCCACCTGATCGATGAGAGAACTTGGGACTGGGGTTAGGCTAGGGGAAATGGGGTGATAGGCTCCACTGTCCAGAAGACAAGCATGCAGGAAGCGGGGATCTGTGCTCTGGCCAGCCCAAGAGTGAAAACTATGGCCAGTGGATGGTGTTTCCAAAGCGGTCGGTTAGGACAGGAAGACACCTCTGCCAGTCAAAAGATAAGCAACCTAGAAAGTCTCCATCCCCCTCCTCTTTTTTTGGTTACTAGAGGTTAGCAGATAGAGGCTAGACTCTCTGGGGTCCCCTAAGAGGACTCCAGAAATGGATGGGCCTGGCCGTTGGGATCTAGACTCTTGATTCTAGGACTGTGGAGCCACAGCAGCCCAGAGGAGCTGAATTGGCTGAGCATGACAGGCCTGCTGGCCTCTGTGACCTGGAAAAAGCCACAGCCGCTCTCCACCCCCACTCTGCAGGGAGGACAGCCCTGCTGAAGGCCTCTGAGCCTCAGTGCTCTTATCTTCATCTCCCAAAGCCAGAGGATAATCACACCATTATCTGTGATAAGGCCCCCCTAGCAAACTAGAATGTCTGGTATCTTCAGCTTTTGATTGAAATTCTGTCAGCTCATTACAGACACAGTGCAGCCTGGGTATCACGCTGATCTAGAAATGCAACTGGCAGGTACTGGTGTCTGTGCTTAATAAAAGTAGGAGGAGAGTTATGGCTTCATAAATGGAGTTTGTCTGAGAGATAAAACTCAGCCTAAGATAATGAAAAGAGCATGCTGTGAGAAGTCTGGGGTGGCAGCTGCCAGCCCAGAATGGCAACCCTAAACCTAAGAAACAGTCAGCCTTTTGGGCAGATCCCCGACACAGAGGAACCTGGCAGAGCCACAACTTCACCCTAGCAAATCAGATGATCACCAGGTCTGCCAAGGCCCCTAGAGCACTGTTGCTTTTGCCTGGCTTGGTAAGCAGTGGATGCGTCCTTACTAGGATGAATGGATGAATGAATGGATGAATGAATGAATGAATGAATGAATGAATGGTGAGCACAGACACACACAAGAGGAGTCATGGTGTGAAGCATGGGACTGTAGAGTCTTTTATTGAAACTCACAGTTTTCTGGACTTTTGGCCCCAAAGGGAAAAAAAAAAAGCAAATTATAAACATTGGCAGTAAGATGCGACAATTGTCCCCTGGAACTGAAGCTGAGTGGAACATGGCAGGTCAGTGAGGTGTCCAAGTTTTGGAGGGCAGGAACCTCATCAGATATGGCTGAAACGGCAGATTCTCCAAGCCTCTAAAGCAGGCAAAGTCTCAGGTGAACTAATGCTAACACACAAGGATTGTGGGAGTTGAGGAATCCCAGGCACTGGTTCCAGCAAATCTCCCTCATGCTCAGTCTGATTCCACTTTGCAGAAACTGTGCTCATCTGACCTGGCAGTCTCAGTGAGGGATGACAGTCGTGCCAGAAGAGGCCAGCGGTGATGCTTAGCGCTGGCATCAGGGAACAGAGGGGAAAGCCAGAAGCCAGGGACAGCAGACCAGACACTAACTCCACTGCCACCACCAGCATCCCCACCCCAAGGTGGTGCCATTCCACAGCCCAGGGTATTCAACCTTCAGTCCTTTCCTAGGTCAGGCTGGGAAAAGCTTTGCTAGGAGAGGAGGAAGAGAAGACAGGCCACATCCCTTCGGTGTGCTCCACTCTAGCTGGGTAGGCTGGATCATAGCATCCGAGAAGCTGTCATGGTGACGAAGTCCTCAAAGCTGAGCCGAATGTTGCCCTGTACGGCGGTGTCCTTTTCCCGGAAGGCCTCAGTCAACACCTGCAGCTGGGTACACACCTTGATGAAGCAGTCGAGCTGCATGGCGGGAGTGGCAGAGCGCGCGCAGTAGCGAGACACCAGGAGCTGGGTGAACTGAGGGCTCAGATTGTAGCCCATCTGCGACAGAGCTGGGGAGGAAGGGCACAGGAAGCAGAGGCTGAGGTGAGTCTATCGCTACTGAGCAGCACTGCAGCACAGCAGATCAGGGGATCTGGGGGCAGCCGCTCACAAGTCCCGCAGGCCCATTCAGATGTCAGGAGCACAGGAGGTCTCTTCAGAGACCCCACCCCCATCTCTTCACTGTCAAGGTTCATGAGATCCCAGAGAGGCCAGCAGCCTACCTGTGACCATCTCATGCACCTGAGCTACCAAAGGAAGTGTGAACCACTAGCCTCCCTGGACAGACAGACACCAGAGACAGCAGCAAGGCACAAGGGTCACTGTCCTGGAGGCAGGCAGTTTTGGGTCCCCCTGCTTAGCCTCACTAGCCCTTCTTATTGCCACTCAAGCCAGGCAATGCTCAACCTATGCTTCTAATAAGGATTAAAGGCAACCACGGAGGCACTCGGCACAGTGCCCTGAACACAATATCCCGTTTTAAATAACAGTCATATCCCCATACGAGGCCACAGCCTGTGTGCCACTTCCTTTCTCCCACTGAGAGGCCTCCTGCCTTTTCTGTGTCCCTGGCCTGCCCAGGAGCAATCTGAGCTCTGCTCCATGAGCCCTGGGCAAGGGACTAGGCTTCAGTTTTGTCACTTGTAAAAGGGAGACCAGCAGGGGTTCTGCACCAGTCCATGTGTGCGGAACAGTCAGCAGGATCTAGCCCCGGGAAGAGGAATTTCAGGAACGGACTGCAATGCTCGTTTCAATGCCTAGGGCATGGCAAACATTCATTAAGTTGTTGCTATCAACCTCACCAACATCAGTGAAAGGAGCTGGCGAGGCAGCGTTCAGTTCTGGTCACCCTCCCTTCTAGCAGGGGCAGACACGGCATGCTCACCCCCACACAGACCTTCATCTCAATGAAACACATGGCCTGGAAGAGGAACCTCGACTCCCTAGGCAGCCTTTCCCCTGTGAGGCGATGAAACTTCTCACTGGGTTCTCAAAGCCACATCAGCCATCTGTCTTAGTTCCCTACTGGCCTGAGCCCGGGCTGCAGGCTTGACTTACGGAGTCAGACAGGAACCAGATATGGATCTGTGGCCCCGTGTCCTCTCACCCAGCCACAACTCTAAGAAGGCTCTGGACCTCAGAAACCACCTCTGGCCAAGTGGCAACAGAACTGTGAGCCCTGAAGCAGGTCTCTTCCCATGCCACATGCTGGAACAATAAGAACGAACCACACTGCTAAGTCCCCATCTCTCTGATGCCAGAGGGGTTGTCCCACTCAGTCCTGTCACCAGGGAGCCCAGCACTGATTCAAGGCCCAGTTGCCTTTTCCTGGATTCTGGCTCAAAGCCCCAGTCAGGGTGCAGACCAGACGGCATGAATGGCATAGGTTGGCACTGGGCAGTGAGAGGAAAACCCTTTGATATGTTTTAAGGCATGAAAAGGAGTCTAGCTGTGCGGTGCCCACTGTGCCTACTGTGGTCCTTACCTTGCTGCAGCTCTACAGAGCTGATGGATCCAGAGCGGTCCCGGTCATACTGCTGGAAGAGGTTCTTCCACTGCTGGAGGAATTTCCATAGGGCTGAGAAGCCGACGACATCAATGCGGCCAGATTTGGTCTTATCAAACATGTCTGAGTGGAAGGAGGGAAAGGATAGAGGAAGGTTTCAAGACTGAGGGCCAAGGGTACCACTGAGGCAGCCCTTCTCCCAGGCTGAAGCAAATGCCTGTGCCTCAGACATGGCACCTGGCTGTTCTCGGTCCCGTCCCATCCAGATTCTGCAGGGCTGGTGGCTTAGCTCCAAGACTTGGGTCCATGATGACCCCTTTCCTGCAGTTTCGTACCAGGGGAGGGAATGTCTGGCTGCAGAATGGGAGACTGGACCAGCCTGAAACTTAGCAGCCTAGTCTTGACAACAATCCATGGTAAAGGAAATTGCATCTTGAACCCTGCTTCCTCCCTGGCTATAGTTCTCCTCAGACTGACTACTTGCCCACTTCTGTCACCTGTCAAGTGGCTTGGACCCAGTTCAAACCTGCATGTTCTTGGAAGGGTGGAACTCACTTATCATCATGAGACATGTCTCATCATTGAACGAGGACCAGTTAGAGTTGACGAGGGCCTGCTTCAGCTCCTTGAGGGAGATATAGCCGCTGTGATCGGCATCCACTGACTGGAACCAGGAGTAGGCCTCAGGATCCACATTGGGGGGGACACCACCTGGAGGAAGGAGTGTAAACCATGGTAGTCAGACCCAGGTCAAAAAAATTCCAGGGAGCCATTCTGGGTACCTCCCTGGTCCTAGGCATTCCTTTCTGTTCTATTAGCTTTAATGCCACCTTGACTCAGCCCGGACTCATCTGAGAAAGGAGTCCAACTGAAAGATTAGACTTCCCAGATAAGATTGGTCTGTGGGGGATTGTCTTGACTGTTAGCAGATGTAGGAGGGTCCAATCTGTGGGTGGTGCCATTCCCTTGGCAGGTGGTCCCAGCTGTTTATGAAACTAAGTAAGTATAAGCCTGCAAGGGAGCCAACAAACAGTGTTATTCCATGGTTCCTGCTTCTGAGTTCTTGTCCATTATGGACTACAACATATCAGCTGAAATAAATGCTTCCTGCCCCAAATCCCCTTGGTCAGTGTTCTACCACAGGGACAGAGAACAAACTAGAATACCCACCCATAAAGCCTCACAGGCCTGCCTGTCCATCTGCCACCAAGCCCAGGCCTCTCTCTGAGGGAGGCTTGCATGGCACCTCACAAAGGTTTGATTCCTGCAGCAGAGTCCTGCACAGCTTTGTGAATAATGTCCCAGTAACTGCTCTAAGATGTCAGTTTCCCACCCCTCCAATGCAGGGAGAACTCTCTGTAAACGGCCTGAAGGAAGCAGGGTTAACCGGCCACAGAAGGGATCAGAAGCAGACATGGGCAGTGTGGAGGACAGACCCAGACAGGAGGCCAAGGGAAACGGCATGCCTGACTGGGGTCTGGCGTGGAGACCCAGGCGGGCTTGGCCACCTTAAACAACAGTGCACTGGTTAGCTTTTATTTTCGACCTGGCACAAACTCGACTGAGGACTGCTCAGATCGGAGCTCTAAGAAACAGGTCAGTGGAGGAAAATAAAAGGACACTCAGTGTGACCTCAAAATAGCGACAGCACACTGTGGACTTTTACTGGCCTGAGAGACAGGTGCCTCCAAACCCTGTAGGTCAGCCTCAGAGGGTCCAGGAAAACACGTCCATCACACAGGGTGTGAGAATCAGGTTTTGCAGTGGAGAATAGGGACAGACACTGGTTTTTCTAGATAAACTGTTTTTGAAACAGAAGGGAAGGAGAGAAGTCAGACTTCCTGCTTCTAAGACCTAGGGCTCCAGGGTAGCTCTCTGGAACTCCATGGGCTGCAGGTTTCTTGAGCCATGGGCCCATTTTATGGCCCTGGTTTTGGGGTGGTTGATACAGAAGCCCACTGCGGGCAGTACCATCCCTAGGCAGGTGGGCCTGTGTTGAAGAGGAAACTAGCTGAACGTGAACCGGGGAACGAGCAATAGGTGAAGGTAGCAGGCAGCGCTCCGCCTCGGTTTCTGCTTTACACCTCCTGCTTTGGTTTCCCTCAGTGTTAGACTGTAACCTGGAAGTCAAACAAATCCTTTCTTCCTCTTTTGGTCATGGTGTTCTTCACAACAGAAACCAAACTAGAACAAGTAGGGTCACTGGGGAGGGAGGACATTTCTGTGACGTGTGCGGGTGGGCTTCATACAGAAGAACTCAGCTTGAGATTCGAGACAGACCAGGACTCAAGTCCTGACTGGTTTTCACTAGTTGTGTAACTTCAGGTAAAGTAACTTTTTTGAATTCCAACTTCCATCTTTATAAAGTGAACCACTTCCAAGGGGTAGGTTAGATGACCACCTGAGACAGCAGCAAACCCAAGTCCTCAGCAGAGGCAGGAAGGGGTGGTGGGAGACGTTTTCAGAGGAGGAGTATTTCAGCTGTTTCTGAAGGAGGAGCTGTGGGGGAGGAGGAGGCAGCAAAGGATGCATTACAGCACTCAGCATCTCTGCTGGATGGAAGGCAAGGGCCGAGGGCAAATGTGGAAGCCAGAGGCCCTCTGGGATCTTTCTGCGAACAGAGCAGCACCTCTAATGGTCAGATCTGCCACCTACAGTAGTAGTTCTTGAACCTTGGAGGTGGAACTTTCCAGGACTCTAAGGCAAGTGCAGCAGGGATCAGGATGGATGCAGTATTGCTCCCAGGTGTTGCTAGTCATCCCAGGAGAGGAAGCAATGCAGGCAAATGAGAGAACAGATGAGGCACGCCCCTTCTTCCCTCCCCTGCCCTAGAGACTACTGCTACTCTCTGGCCCAGGGATCAGAGGCCTCAGAGTCAGGGGCTCCTTTCCCTGCAGACTTTTGATGAGTTCAGACACAAGGTTTTGGAGGACTTGGAAATCCACTGCAGAGCTGCTGAGCCGGAAGCCAACAGCCAGATGCTTGGGCTCTGAGAAGATAAATGTTACTGGCTGGCTGTGCTCAGAACCCCAGAGGTTTGGGTACCTCCCCCAGGGCCACCTGCCTGGGTACATCCATTCAGATGCTGCTTGCTTCCTAAGCACAGCGTTCCCAGGAGGCCCTACTCATGGGCCAAAGCAGTTCCTGACTGCCTAACTGGTGCTCAGCCTCCTGAGAACAGCCACTCTGTGAAGGAGCTCACTGAAGGGAGGGGGCGGAGGGAGGAGCAGGGTCTGGCACTCACTTTCCCTAGCCTTCTGCTAAGAGACCCCAGCTAAGGCTCGTCAGTCTCTGGCCCTTGTCTTGTCCAACACCTCCCCTCCAGCCTGCGGCTTTCTTTCCCCTTCTCTTCCACCCTCGTTTGCCACAGGTACCATCACATTAAACGCCAAGATTCCTCTGCCCTAAAACAAGTCTCTCAGAGCCGTCCACTAAGCCCAGATGCTGTGGCCAGGATTAAGCTGCAGCTTCACACTTAGGGTCTACTAATCAGCCTGGGAAGTAGTGCCACTGTCCCTATTTTACAGAGGGGACTGAGGCATAAGAGGCAGTCTGGGCAGGTTAGTGAGTGTCTGATCTCAAAAGCTTTCACTAAGGACCCCATCTTTTCTTTCCACGGATGTGGTCAGTCACCCTCCTACAGGAATGCAGTTTCTTCTCCCGTGGACTGCACTGCTGTCTCCTATGGTCTGCTGCTCTCCCTGTCCAAGACAAGCACTGTACACCCCCTCCACTGCCTGGTAGCCCGAGGAGCTCCCCATGAGCGGAGCACCATGTCCTGCCAGGGTCAGGCTCAACAATGGGATGTGCTTCTGCCAAAAGAACGTGAGTACTTCAGACCGGAGCCACCCAGCCTGGCCTCCTTACTCTCTCTCCACCCTAAGTTCAACGTGCCCCAAAAGGGGTGCTCTCAGCTGCAGCTGCTGACATACGAGCGAGGAGAGCAAACAACAGAAGTAAGTGTTTGTTGTAAGCCGAGAGGACTTTAGGGATGTTAGCACACTCATTCTGCCAGAATAGCAAAGCAGGAGGTGAGGAGCTCGAGCCAGAGACCAGGGTAGGTGCACATCTTCAGGAAGGACACGGATGGGACACGGATGCTTAGATCAGGTCGAAAGGTTCTACACTGGGTTCCAGAGCTGAAGGTGCTACTTACCCTGTCCATAAGGCCCAGGCTGCTGGGCACCATAGGAACTTGGAGGTGGCTGACCGTAGGGGCCCCCTGGAGGTACACCACCATATGGTCCACTCGGAGTTCCAGATGGGAGTCCCCCAGCACTGGGGTATCCATAGGGCCCTCCAGGGGCAGGACCTCCATAGCCACCGCCAGGGGGGAATCCACTGCCATACTGACCCCCACCATGGGGAGGTCCAGGGTAGTAGCCACCTGGGGGTGCTCCAGGTGCCTGTCCTGCAGCTTCGGGGCAACTCTGCAAGAAGAACAGGCATGGTCAGGGTGGTGAAAGAGGCCATAGCACTTTACAGCTACTGAGCGCCTGCACTGCTGTTCTTATGTCTGACCCCACAGGTGAGACTGGACTTACGGCAGTGCTCAGGTGGCCTTGAGGCTTCTAGGGAAGCTACCACTTACCCACGGAGACTCCTCTTCCCAGCACATCTAAGGCCTTACAGGGCCTGGGGTCATGTCTAGTTTGCAGCTTATCCCTAGCTTCCAATAGACAATGGATGCTCAGTAAATATGTTATATGAAGAGGCAAATAAACCAAATGGAATGCTCACTCTTCAGGACCTCTGCCTGCAGAATTCAGGGCACAAGTGCAGTCTTGCCACAAAGCCTGTCCCTCATCGGCCACCAGTGATGCAGCCCCAGCACAGAGCCTCCACAGCAGCTCTTCCTTCCTTACACTAGCTGATGATGCATGAATAGTCGCTAATCTCACGACTTTGAGGCAGGCAGGGACAAAAACCAAACACCACAGTTCAGGTTTGTCACCCGCTAACTCAGGTCAACAACGTGTGAAGGAGGGAGAAAGAACTAACTTCCTCCAGGATTAGTCTGATCAAGAGCCAACCCAAGTACAAATCCTCCACTCCTCTCCCTCTGCCGTTTGCCTGATCATAACGAAAAGTTAGTGCGTTAAAAGTAGGATGTGTACTGTTAGAGAAAAGACCTGTAAGGTAGTAATGGAATCCTATAGTCATTACTGGGGGGAATGAAGGCGTTTTTGTCCCAAAAAACAAGCCAAAGCTGTTTGCCATTCTTCTGAGGTTTGCAAAAGGAAGATGAAATATTTTGAGATCTAAAAAGATTTAAAAAAAAAAAAAAAAGGTTGCTGGGTGGTGGTGCACACCTTTAATCCCAGCACTTGAGAGGCAGAGTCTAAGGCCAGCCTGGTCTACAGAGTGAGGACAGCCAGGGCTACACAGAGAATCCCTGTCTTGAAAAACAAAACAAAACAACAACAACAAAAATCAGGGTCTTGTCCATTGAGTCTATCCAGTAAGTTGGGCAGTTCTGGTGAATAAAAGTTACTGTTGGTTTGGAATTAAAACAAACACAAAGTTTTAGGTTTATTGTAAGATGGCTGAAAGGGGAATGAATGGCGGCTACAAGAGAAAAAGAAGTGTTCAAGACAAACAGAGGGGTAAATCCAAGCATCTTCACGATGAAACAGTTGGCCCTGTTCCAGGGCTCAAACCACTTGCTAGGAATGTTGTAATGTAAAGACATTAACAAAGGAGGTGAGTGGGACAGAGGATGGGAAAGCCACTTTGAGAATTCCCAAGGAAAGCCAAAGCAGACTGATGCTGCCCAAGAGCTAATGAAAAGAATTTAACATTTCCCTTTTTGGGAACAGACCACTGCAATCAGCAAGGTTTAATGGAAGAATAATGGACAATACAGAGGCAGATGCATAGAACATCTAGCAGAACTCTAGGGGCAAGCTGTAAGTGATAAAAGGTTTGTATTGAAGTGTGTATATCCTTAAAACAGTTAGAGATATACTTTAGTAGAAGAGGCTAATAGGATCCATAGAGTGAAATATGTAATAGGTACCAGAATATTTTTGTCTACTAAGAATGTATTGCTCAGGTAGTACTGTATACTCACCCCTGGCAGCTGGAAGTGAGATATGGGTGCCGACTTATTGACAGGAGGCATTGAAAACACAATTCTTGATCATCAGGGCATATTGGAATAGTAAAAAAGGCAATATTTTAAATCAACAACTATAACATAGTAGTTTTGAGGGACGGTGGTGGGAGAGGGAACTCCAGGCTGGACGGCTCCACAGGACAACAAGGAGCATTAACAGCATGGAGAGCAGGGCAAAGCCTCCAGTTAGCCAAGCTCTGGGAAGACAGACGTAGACGGCAGCACCCAACAATGGGCTCTACACCATCTGGATGGAGCTGTTCTCGGATTAACTGACATAACTGTCCAAGTTTGTCCACAGTCAGGGGGACCTTTGATCCAAGAGAGTTTGGGCAGGTGTTTCTCATGGCCCTGAGGAAAAGGATATTCAGGAGCTGTCACAGCCCCACTGAGACAGGGGTCTCTACCCCAAGGGAGAACGATAAGGGCAGAGCGAAGGGGTGGAAAACTGCACATAAGGTTTCTGTACTTACAACAGCAGGGGATTACTTTTGTCACCAACTCCTTGAATGTCTGAAACTGGGGACTCAATGTGCCAATTAGAAGGCCAGGATTATTTTGCTATAATGGAAACACTAGCTGCTGTGTCTCTAATGCCCTACATGGGAATCTGGTTGACAGAAACACCAAGTCCGGTGCGCTCTGTGGAATTAAATTCTTCTTTAGCCCATTATCAGGGTCTATGGTGTCGGATAAGGATTAATAATCAATTTTGTCAATTGAGTTAGAGCTGGAATTTCTCAGAGCAACTGCGAATAAACTATAATGTAAATTTGACTAATATAATCAGAATCAGTGACATCTGGGGGAAAAATAATCTGGGCAAACAAAACTTCTATAGTCCAGTCTGATTTACCTAAAATCAAGTCAAAACATTCATTGGAAGGGGTTCCTACATCTGTGGGGAGCCTCTTCACCTCTCCTATTACATCGAATTTTATACCCCTAATTACAGATAAATCTAATACAGAATTACCTTTAATAATCAAACCTCTTAATGTCCTAGGTTTGGGATGGATCTGGATGGTGTGCGGCAGAGGCACATGGTGTAGAAGCTATGCTTCCAGGCTGTGCTCCTGCAGAGGCAGCACGGGGCCAGGACCCTGGAACCACAGGCAGGGACCAAAGGGGGTTTGCTGGTATCAAGCAACCCTCAGCGCTCATTCCTGTTTTCCCCAAACTGGACTGCCTTCACTATCAACTCTAGATGGACACTGACTAGCCCAGCAAAACCATCTTTACATTCAGGGTATATTTTAGAAAGAGTTTACCATACTGAAGTCTATGAATAAGTTTTATTTATACTGTTTTTGGAAATGGCTTCTTTTCCCACATTTGAAACAGAGAGCCACAAGACTGCTGGCAGAATCTGAGCCTTCAGTTCCTCTGTGCCAATGCTTTGGTGGGCCTTTATTGATCAGCATAGTATGAAAAGGATTAATTAGCAACTACAGTTGATGGGTTTTTTTTGCAATCAGATTTGCATTTTTGTGAGCTAATGAAAGGTAAAGTGGTAGCAGCTTCTTTATTATCTGCCTTTCATAGTTTGTTGTGTAGACAACTGACAAAGTCCATAAAGGGCTCTGTAGACTTTTGTCTGATGGTAGAAGAGGACCCTAGGGAAGTATTAGGATCAGCAACTTTGCTCCCAGCCCTTGTAGTTGCTGAGGCTAGCAAGCGGCTGAGCCTTGGTTTCAAAGTCTCCTTGTCTGACTAATTGATCATAATTAACATTTATGAGGGGCTGCTGCCTTTGGTTGTGAGCAGCAACGAACAGGCATTTGTCCATCCATTCTGAAGGCCACATTAACAGTGGTGAGAACTGCTTTTATAAGGGCTTGTATTCAAAAAGTATCATTTTATATGTAATTGCAGTAACATTATTCCGCTAGTAAAATGGTTTGAGCCTCATTCTCTGTAACACACTTTGTGAGATCTTTGTACATGGCGAATGGAGCCCTTCTCTGGCAGCACCAGGTCCCACTCTCTAATGACTGGAAATTAGAGAGTCACTGACACACCTGCCCAAGAAACTTCTTTAAGGCCACTTTATGGATGGGGACAATTTATTTATTTTATTTTGTTTTCTTGAGACAGGGTTTCCCTGTGTAACCTTAGGGTTGACCTGGATCTCACTCTGTAGACCAGACTGGCCTTGAACTCAAAGAACCGCCTGCCTCTGCCTCCCAAAGGCTGGGAGTAAAGGCCTGCGCCACCACTGCCTAGCAAGTACAAGGAAGCAACTAAAGCTGGAGTGTTTTGACAAGAGCCAGCCCATGCGACTTCTCTACCTGTCCTGTGTCTTCTGCTGGACTCTAACAAAGGTCTTCGCCCTGAATTTACTGAACAGCACAGAAAAACGGCATAGGACAGGAATGAAGGACATTTCATTTTCTGGGGGGAGGAGTTCAAGATAGGGTTTCTCTGTGTAGCCTTGGCTGTTCTGGAACTCATTCTACAGACCATGATGGCCTCAAACTCAGGGATCCACCTGTCTCTGCCTTCCAAGTGCTTGGTATTAAAGACATGAGCCACCAATGGCTCTTCGAGGACAATTTCCTACAGAAATCTTTAGCAGAGTTTTACAAAGAAAGAAGTTACTTCGCTGACCCAGAACAGTGCTCAAAGCCTCACACAGGTGTTGGTTGCTTTCAGTAAAAGACTAATACACACACACACACACACACACACACACACACACACACAC